ACTCCCTCCGTTTCAAATTACCCGTCGCAAAAATGGATGTATCTAAAATTAAAATACATCTAAATACGTTCATATCTGCGACAAGTAGTTCGAAACGGAGGGAGTAGTATGTACTACTCTCGTGCTGGGACGATGTATCCTATTCCTTGCTGCTGCTCATCTAATTAAGGGCATCTTCAAAGTGGACTCTCAAACCGCCCGCATATGTCCAAACCTCATGGTCTGGACGTGTTTTGCCATCTAATATGATCCTGTATCCGTGTGCCGATCGGTATGGATGTCCTTTTCTCCACAAACCAAAAGCAAATTATGAAGGGTTTTGTGGGAATCCGGACAACAGCCACATATAACTCCGACAACCAAAACCCTTTTCAGACCCCACATCTCCATCCTTTCCTTTTTCTCTGCATCCGCTTCCTCTCTCGCCGGTGCTACCGCTCCACCACATCGGCCGCCCACCAAACCCTTGGCGACCTCGGCACGGGTCACCAAAGTAGCAGGGGCGGTCCCATCGGCAAGGTCACACGAGTAGCGGGGCGGTGGGGTATTTCATTTTCCCAATCACAGGGGCGGCGAACAGCCGGCAACACGGGTTTATGGTTGCGGCGGCGTGGCACACAGGGGGCTTCACTCCCGTCTCCCTACTCTATTCTTGGTCCAATGGCCAGGACTGGACCAAATATAGTCATCTGGGGATAGTTTTCAAGGAGTGGGTATCATTCATTTTTTTTTAGTAAAGTTGGTTATAGGGGATCTGTTAGCTAGTGCTTATAACTCCCTAAAACCCACTTTGGTTCTTAAATATAGGTTTTAGGGGATCTGTTAGAGATGCACTTACACTATATACCTTTCTTAGGGAGTATTACGTGCGTATAGCCATGCTAGGACGTGGTTGATTAGTCCACATGCATACTACATAGTCCGGCCGATTTGAATTTGAGTTTGATCCAACTTCATCCATCCATCGTTAACCACAGATATACTCCACCCGTCCCATAATACGAGACCACTAGTGTAGTGTAAAAAACGCTCTTATATTACGGGATGGAGGGTGCATTTTTGACCGGCTGGCTGCTAATAACATGTCCATCTCATCATCATTCTCATTCCCTGGCCAAGCATCTCCTTCTAGAAGAAGAAGAGGAAGAAGAAGGTAGGATCCATATGCGTATGCCATGATGCATGAGTACATATTACTATATGATGATATATGGATGCACTTGACGACATTTCAATTCAACTCAATGCATGTAACGGAATTGTTCAGTTCAATCAACTAGTTGGTCGTATGTAAATAAATAAATACATAGTATAGTCGAAGAAGAAGCATCGGCCCAACCCAATCATGCACGCATACACCATCATCATTCATCTGCGTGCGCACCAAGGTATGTACATACGTGCACAAGATCCCGTCCGTATCAATGAATTGATTTCAAACAAGAGATAGAATTTCTACATATATACAACTGGCTGTCGCCCATGAGTCCATCAATCACATATATAGGTTTGTTATTAGTTGATACTGATGATATTATACGGTACTATAATCAAATCTACAACTAGTACGTTTGTACAATAAATAAGTAAATGAATATGCAACGCCACATCAGCATCTGGCATTATGTTATGATAAAAAGTATTTTAATGGATTCGATACACGGTACGCACGTGCACGCACATTGTGTAGTAAGTAGTATGCATTATTACGGTTTTTCCTTGTGTTGCAAAATGAAATGAACTGTATTAGCTAGTACGAGATGTTGAATCTCATTTTGCCCGCAAAAAAAATGGAGATGTTGAATCTCATTCGCAAAAAAAGAAGAGAGAAGATAACGTTGAATTGTTTCTTCCCAGGAGCGTCAGCCGCCGGTCTTTTCGTAATGGAATTGGTCGTCTCTTGGTTGGATGGGAGAAGTAATTTGGAAGAAAAAGGAAATTTTAGTACTATGTTTCTTTGAGAAAACCAATTAACGCGATGGAATTTAAGGGTTGAAATCAGGGTAAGAATGCACTGTTTGTGCTGTTGTCGTTTGTTGTGAGCAAATCATCGATCCTTTTTCTCTCCTCTCCTCTCCTCTCCTCTCGTAATTATAACAAGGATTATATACCTGCTGCAGGTAGCAGTAGGCCGGGCATAGCGTCATAGGAATTATTGAGGTGAGTGGAATTGAGTTTGAGTACCCCGCCCATACCATACTTGAGTTGTATATAAGCTCCTGAATGGATGCATCCTGTGTCGGTCTATATATACTCTACATGGAAGCAACCAGCTAGCTAAGCACATGCATGCATGACGTATGCTAAACCTTGATTAACTAGTAATTAGTTAGGATCTTCTAGAAGGAGTGCTGTAGTAGCTACGTATGGCATGATGCCTGCGTCCTTATATTGCTTATATATATACGGACGAGACGACCTAGCTAGCTAGCCAGCCGGATCAACATTTCAATTCAACTCAATGGAACGGAATGCTTCTATGCATGCATGCATGTTGTACTACAGTACTACTATATATTTGATGTTGCTTGTGCACAACTAATCAATCAATCAATCAATCAACTACAGTACTACAGTACTACTATATATACTACTACAGTACAAAGAAAGAAAGAAAGAAAGAAAGAAAGAAAGAAAGAGAGAAGAAGCCCTAAACCAAAACAACTAATCAATCAATCCTGGCCGCAAGTAATGCATATGCACCATAACATTCAAGAGAAAACCTGCACAGAAAGATCATACATACATAGTTGGAGAAAATTAAATAAGGGATAAAACTGTTGTAGCTAGTCTGGAAATACTTGTCTTGAAAATGGATAAAATGAATGTATTTATAACTAAAATAAGTCTAGATACAACCATTTCAAGGACAAGTATTTTCGGACGGAGGGAGTATTTATAAGGAAAATGTAGTGGATCCGTCGTTTTCAGCCTGCGTCAACTGCATATGCATATCACCCCTTTTCCAAAAAAAAGAAAAAACTGCATATGCATATAGAGGTAAGACACAAAGACACAGGAAGAGCAGAGCTATATATATGGATGGATGGACTGGATTAGGTTGGGTTGGGTGCGAGTGAAATGAAATGTAGAGTAGAGTTGGAAGCAGCATATGCTCTGATCTCCGCAAGTTAGCCCAGCTTTTGTCTCTTCTTCTTCTTCTACTCCAGTCCATTCCCGTGTCTTGTCTAGAGGAGCCGGAGCCGGACGGGAGTGGATTATTAATTCTGCACCATCTCCATCTCCATCTCCATATGCTATACAGCGAGGGAGCGGTCGCTTGCGTCCGTGCGTGCGTGTGATTACTACTAGTGTTATTGTTAAGTTATTACTACTAATTGTAAAATGTGGTCAGCCTGCTGTGTTACTTGCAGCAGGAAAGGCGCCAAGCAAGCAAGCAAAGTTTGACTTGCCAAACTCCCTCGCTCTTTTCTTTTCATGGATCATGCATGTGACCGCCGACTTGATGGCGGCCTTGACCAGTCATGCACACGGATACATTTCAACCACCGTTTGAACTAACCGAATGAAAATTCATGTAAATGCAACAGATTTCACATAAAACTGGGCTTAATTCATACATTTTTAACTTCAAAATGATACCGGCCTAAAGTAAAACTAGTCTACAACCGGCGCCGGCAGATATCCATTTCGACGACGCGGATACCCTTGACTAGTCTACGGCCGGCCGTCTTTTCCATGTTCGGCAGCTTACTCATCGGACTGTCGTGAGCCCTAGAGGTATATGCTTCAGCACAAAAGGGTGGCTCGCTCGCTTCCCCATGTTTGTCAGTGTAGCTCATCAAAGTGAAACCGCCGGCTAATGCTTTAGCTAGAGGGGAAGGGTGCCCTAAGCTGCATGGATCAGGGTTCGTTGTTGGGGCTGCGGGGGACGACGGTGGACTGCGACCAGGCAAGACACCGGTTGTGTACGCCGGCGTGGCCTCGGTGGTGGCCTTCATGGGACCTGAGCGGCGGCGGCCTCCCATGTCCTACTTCTCCTCAATGATGATGGACGTGTGACCGAAGTAGGTTTCTCGGCACACGCGTGGGTTTAAAGAAGGGAAGGCAAGAAGACTTGATCCGTTTGGATGTTGCGAGGAGACGTGTTCAACCGATGCTAGTGAGAGGCCGCGTCTGCTCTGGGCCGGCAATGTGGAGCGGCCTCTCTCTACAGCAGCAGGAATACGGGCGGGAAGCAAAGCCTCTCTAGTTTGTCATCGGCTTGCGGGAAAAAGCACGTCCGAACCGCTCGGTGGACCAATACAGGCCCGTACCGGCGAAGCTACACTATGCCTTGGCACGCCCAACCCAAAGCAATTTCATGAGTAATATGCTATGTAGTGAGCAAAAACAAGGCCTATGTACATGTTAAAGCATAGACTCGCCCGCCTTAAATTTTTAATATAGCTCTGTCCCTATAGGCCTGTATTGGATGGCACAATATATACAGAGCGCGTAATTGAAAAGACCTCGCACAGGCTGCTTGAGGTCCTCGTTGAAGAGCAATGGATGGATGGGATCAAACGGTCCATCCCATCCATCCATCCATCAACGTCAGTCAGTCAGTCAAATTACGTTTGGTTGGTTCGTTATGCTAGAAACAATATAATAATAATAATAATAATAATAATAATAAAGATAATGAGGCAGGCAGGCTGCTGAGCATGAATGGAATCGTTTCCCACATGCATGCATGCACCGGCCTTCTTCTTCTTCTTCTTCTTCTGGAGTAGTTCCCTTCCCTGCCTTGCCTTGTATGTTCTATCTATATATGTATGATATTTGCATATCATCTGCTACCACAAGGCAAGGCAAGGAACAAAATCGGGCGTGCACATGGAGTGAGGATCGCCCATTCCCATTCCCATTCCCATTCCCAACGCCAACGTCTTCCTTCCTTTCCTCCACCACTCTCTCGTCTCTTCAGAGACCAGAGAGAGAGACAGAGACAGAGCTAGCTAGCGATCGAGCTTGGCTTGGCACAGAGGCAGGCAGCCATGGATCCTCCTGGCCCGGGGATACAGATACAGCTGGGCACGCTCTCCGGCAGCCGCCGCAGCATGGGCTCCTCCTACGGCTCGCGCCGCTCCGGGGGCACAGGCTCCATCTCCCACTCCTTCCGCCAGCCTGCCGGCGCCGACGACCCCTTCGGCCGAGCCGCGTCGCAGCAGGGCCACGATGACGACGAGGAGAACCTCCGATGGGCAGCCCTGGAGAAGCTGCCCACCTACGACCGCATGCGCCGCGCGGTCCTCCTGAATCACGCTGGAGCTGGAGCTGGAGGCGCCGACGGTGATGAGCTACAGGGGCTGGTGGACATCGAGCAGCTGGCCAGCGGCGAGGCCGGGCGGGCCCTCTTGGAGAGGGTGTTCCAGGACGACAGCGAGCGCTTCCTCCGACGCCTCCGTGACCGGGTGGACCGGGTGGGCATCGACCTGCCGGCGATCGAGGTGAGGTACCAGGGCTTGTCGGTGGAGGTGGACGCCTTCGTCGGCACCAGCGCCCTCCCCACGCTCTGGAACTCGGCCACTAACTTCCTACAGGTAAGTTCTATGCATATCCTTTCTTTTTTCTTTTGTGGACAAATTTCCCATCATCTTATATTCTAGCTACTCCCTCTGTATACTAATATTTACATCACTACTTTAGTTATCTATAAACATTCTTGTATTTCTTTCTTTACGGACGTACTCCAAACTTATTTCCATCATTTCTCTCTCTCTCTCTCTCTCTCTTTATCTATAAAACACTCTAGTTTCCTGTATGTGTTTTTTACAGTTTGTTTTCACCTCTGGCTCTGCTCTGCTTTTTTTGTTGAGAGAGAGAGAGAGAGGAGGGTGGCTCTGCTCTGGTCAGGGATATTTATTTTACCCAGCTGGTGGGCCGTGGCCGTAGGCCCTCCACGTCATCCAGATTCACTTTCTTCACTTGCTCTTCCTTGCCTCCCTCCACCCAAGGCCAATTCCTCCTCCGCGGCGGCGGCGGCCAAAGGAAAGGAAAGGAAGGGAAGGTCCCACCAACCAGTTGTGACTGTGAATTGGGTCAGTGAGTCCTGCTCAGTCCAGAGAGAGGGAAGATGCACCTCAGGTGTTCGACCAAATGTCTCTTAGACCCCAACCCAAGACCAACACCTATCCTATCCTTAATTGAGTGTATCAATCAAATTTTCACATCCTCTTCTCTATCTAGTATGCACTCCCTCCGTTCCTAAATATAAGTCTTTCTAGAGACGGATGTATATAAACATAGTTTATTTGCTTTTGTATGTCTGCATGTCTGCTTCTGTACTGTCCCTCCATGGAGGAAGTAGTATGTACTGTGCCCACTGCTTCTGTCTGTCTGTCTGTCCCTCCGTGTATGCACCCCACGCATCATGCATCACAAAGGAAGGAACATGATTTATTTGCTTACATGATCCGTCCATGAAATGAAATGCCCACTGCCTGCATGCATGCAGAGTCTTGTCGGACGCCTCGCTTCCTCCAACAAGAAGACCATCAACATACTCCGAAACGTCGACGGCATCCTCAAACCATCCAGGTACGTACGTAGGTGTGGTCATCAATTCTTCTTCCTTTTTCTTTTCATTCAAGCCTACTAGCTAGTAGTAACTAGTTATTTCATCATGGTGTTTTTGTTTTCAGGATGACCCTTCTGCTTGGACCTCCATCTTCAGGAAAGAGCACACTCATGCGAGCTCTCACTGGCAAGCTCGACAAAACCCTCAAGGTTTCTTTCTTTCTTTCTTTCTTTCTTTCCTTCAACTTCAACAACACTCATGCGAGCATTCATTTCTTTTTACTCATGCATGCATTATATTATGGCCACATGAATGAACAGGTATCTGGCAGCATCACCTACTGTGGTCATACCTTCGAGGAGTTCTACCCCGAGAGGACCAGCGCGTATGTTAGTCAGTACGATCTCCACAATGCAGAGATGACTGTAAGAGAGACGCTCGATTTCTCCAGGCGCTGCTTAGGCATTGGTGCCAGATATGACATGCTCGCTGAGCTCGCTGCCAGGGAGCGCGAAGCTGGCATAAAGCCAGACCCTGAGATCGATGCTTACATGAAAGCTACTGCCGTGCAAGGGCAGGAGACTAACATTGTCACCGATCTTACCCTCAAGGTTTTTCTCTATTCTCTCAATTACTTACTTGAAATTCTCTAGGCACATTTTTGAGTCTAACAAGAAGAAAAACCACCTCACTCTCATCTCAGGTGCTTGGGCTTGACATTTGTGCCGATATGCCCATTGGTGATGAGATGATCAGAGGAATTTCTGGCGGGCAAAAGAAGCGTGTAACAACCGGTATGTGTGCAGGAATACATAGATTAAGTTCAACCCTCCCATTCATTCAATCATTCATTGTTAAAAGGATTTCCTTTACTTAACTAATATTTTTTACTTTTGCCCATGGCAGGGGAGATGTTAACGGGACCTGCAAGGGCATTGTTCATGGATGAAATTTCCACTGGTTTGGACAGCTCTAGCACATTTGAGATTGTGAAATACATAAGACAGCTGGTCCATGTGATGAATGAGACCGTGATGATCTCCCTCCTACAACCACCGCCAGAGACCTACAACCTCTTTGATGACATTATTCTGCTCTCAGAAGGGTACATAGTGTACCATGGGCCACGCGACAACATCTTGGAATTCTTTGAAGCTGCTGGTTTCCGGTGCCCTGAAAGGAAAGGGGTTGCTGACTTTCTTCAAGAGGTGACTTCCAAGAAAGACCAGCAGCAGTACTGGTACCTTGAGCAGCAGCAGTATCGTCATGTGTCTGTCCCAGAGTTTGCCCAACGTTTCAAGTCATTCCACGTAGGGCAGCAGATGGTCAAGGAGCTGCAAATCCCTTTTGACAAGTCCAAAACTCATCCTGCTGCGCTCACCACCAACAAGTATGGGCAGTCCAGCTGGGAGTCGATCAAGACGGTGCTGTCGAGAGAGCAGCTGTTGATGAAGCGCAACTCCTTCATCTACATCTTCAAGGTTACCCAGCTGATCATCCTTGGGCTCATGGCCATGACTGTGTTCCTCAGAACAAAGATGCCATATGGGCACATCTCCGACGGCGGCAAATTCTTTGGTGCTCTGACTTTCAGTTTGATCACCGTCTTGTTCAATGGGTTTGCTGAGCTACAACTGACGATTAAAATGCTTCCTACCTTCTACAAGCAAAGGGATTTCCTCTTCTTTCCCCCGTGGACCTTTGCGCTGGTAACAATCATCTTAAGAATTCCTGTTTCGCTTATGGAGTCTGCGGTATGGGTCGTCCTCACCTACTATGTCATGGGCTTCGCACCTGCTCCAGCAAGGTACTCCCTCCGTTCGGAAATACTTGTCATCAAAATGAATAAAAGGGAATGTATCTAGATGTATTTTAGTTCTAGATACATCCTTTTTTGTCCATTTTGATGACAAGTATTTTCGGACAGAGGAATATATATTATACATGCATCAACCTTTTCACTTAAAAAAGTAAGTTTTGAATCTGTAACTTGATCTAGCTATTTGCTCATTGCATGCGCGCAGGTTCTTTCGTCAGCTTTTAGCTTTCTTCGGTACTCACCAGATGGCAATGGCTTTGTTCCGATTTCTTGGTGCTGTTTTGAAATCAATGGTTGTGGCCAACACCTTTGGCATGTTTGTGATCCTTCTTATTTTTATATTTGGAGGATTTGTCATACCTAGAGGTAAGCACCCTTGTTTGGCATGAAAAATCTCATTTTCATGGACGATCAAAGTAGTAAACCTTCCTTGTCTCTTGTTAATTACACAGGTGACATCCGACCATGGTGGATCTGGGCTTACTGGTCATCTCCTATGATGTACAGTCAAAATGCAATATCAGTCAATGAATTCCTTTCCAGTAGGTGGGCCAACGTAAGTTTTCTGTTCTTCTTTTAGTTTCTTTCTTCTAAGCTGGATGGCAAGGAATCAACTAATCTAATGCTGCGCCTTTTCATATTTGCTACAGAAAAACACTGAAGCATCTATCGATGCATCAACAGTGGGCGAGGCTATTCTTAAATCCAAAGGCTTGTTTACTGGAGAATGGGGATTTTGGGTTTCCATGGGAGCCATCCTAGGGTTCACTATTTTGTTCAATATATTGTACATTCTGGCGCTTACGCACTTGAGCCGTGAGTGCCGCTTCTTCTTCTTCTTCTTCTTTGACGCCTTAATTAGCAAGGTACTTACAGTAGTATACATGCTCTGTTTTTTTCCAGCTCCCAGCGGCTCAAACACAGTTTCGGACCAAGAGAATGAGAATGAGACAAACACTTCAACACCGATGGGTGAGTTCTTTCTTACATATCCATATTACAGTCATTGTACCATCTACTTTACGTATTTGTGATGCCACTTGAAGCCGCTAACAATAATGCTAATTTGTCACTATCTTCACTTGCAATATGTGTTGTGTAGGTACTAATGATGAAGCCACAAATCGAGCAACTCAGACACAAATCACCCTGCCTTTCCAGCCTCTTGCACTATCTTTCAACCATGTAAACTATTACGTGGACATGCCTGCAGTAAGTCTTTCTACTCTACTCACAGATATCGTGTTACTGTTAGGACATATATAGATTCATCATGTATGCATGATAGCATTATCTGCAGATGTGGTCTAACATAAAATTTGTCAACTTGTGTTTCAGGAAATGAGAGAGCAAGGATTCGCCGAAAGTCGTCTCCAGTTGCTCTCTGATATCAGTGGTGCTTTTAGGCCAGGTGTTCTGACAGCATTAGTTGGTGTGAGTGGAGCTGGGAAAACCACTCTAATGGATGTCCTCGCAGGAAGGAAAACCAGTGGGTCGATTGAAGGAAGCATCACCCTCTCTGGTTACCCTAAAAAGCAAGAAACTTTTGCCCGCATCAGTGGCTACTGCGAACAGACCGATATCCATTCACCAAATGTTACTGTATATGAATCCATTCTCTACTCTGCCTGGCTGCGTCTTTCCTCAGATGTTGACGAAAAAACGAGAAAGGTACTATATAGTATATACATACATTCAAGCCACGTATGTTTCAAGCTCTTTATGTTTGAAACTTTGTGTTATTAAAGATTTAATCTAATGAAAATGAAATTAACCTTGTCCCTCACAACAGTTGTTTGTGGAGGAAGTCATGACTCTTGTGGAGCTTGATGTGTTGCGTAATGCTATGGTTGGCCTCCCTGGAGTGGACGGGTTATCGACCGAACAAAGAAAGAGACTGACAATTGCCGTGGAGCTGGTAGCAAATCCTTCAATCATATTCATGGATGAGCCAACTTCTGGACTTGATGCTAGAGCCGCAGCAATTGTAATGCGGGCAGTGAGAAATACAGTCAACACTGGGCGAACTGTGGTTTGCACTATCCATCAACCCAGCATTGATATATTCGAGTCTTTTGACGAGGTACTCTCTCTCTCTCTCTCTCTCTCTCTCTCTCTCTCTCTCTCTCTCACTATGCAAGTATGCACCTCTCTCTACATATTATTTTGTTTTTAGAAAAGGACATATTATTTTGTTACAAGTTTTTTTGGAAATGCAACAAACTCACGATTGGTTCCTTTTGTAGCTTCTGCTTATGAAAAGAGGAGGACAAGTTATTTATGCTGGTGAACTTGGTCGCCACTCTTATAAACTAGTTGAATATTTTGAGGCGAGTTTCCTTAGCTTACATGTTTCGATCGGTGGGGCAGCAAATAACTTGCTTACTAACCCATGAGATTTTCATTGCATTATATTGCAGGCAATTCCAGGTGTTGAAAAGATCACACAAGGATATAATCCCGCAACATGGATGCTGGAAGTTAGCTCCCCTTTAGCCGAGGCTCGCCTGAACGTAAACTTTGCTGAAATTTATGCTAATTCTGAACTTTATAGGTAAGTAGCCAACCTTTCAGTATTCTTATCTGCTGATTGTTGCTCCCGTTAAAACAACTAGGACATATTCTCTTGAAACTTTAAAACAACTAGGACATATTCTGTTGAAACAGAGTGCAGTTGTTTTCTATATATGCACACTGAGTTCCTATTTCTTAAATATGAGCAGGGAAAACCAACAACTTATTAAGGAATTAAGCGTTCCTCCGCCAGGCTACGAGGATCTCTCATTCCCTACCAAGTATTCTCAGAATTTCTACAACCAATGCATTGCAAACTTCTGGAAGCAATACAAATCATATTGGAAGAATCCGCCCCACAACGCCATGCGCTTTCTCATGACCATGATTAATGGCCTTGTATTTGGCACGGTGTTTTGGCAGAAAGGGACGAAAATGTATGATCCTGTTTTGCTATATATTGTTTGCTACGTACGTAGTTTTGAATGATTAACTATATAGGAGTAGCTTGTATGGACCCCCTTTTTTTTTCTTTTCTTATGTTCGATTCGTTTGCAGAGGCTCGCAACAAGATCTCTTCAATCTACTTGGAGCCACTTATGCTGCTGTCTTCTTCCTTGGAGCCGCCAACTGCATCACGGTTCAGCCTGTTGTGTCAATCGAGCGAACAGTTTTCTACCGTGAAAAGGCGGCAGGGATGTACTCTCCGTTATCCTATGCATTCGCTCAGGTAATATTTTGTTGTTTAGTTTGATTGAGAATCCATTCATTCATTCATAATATAAGGAGCAAAGTCTGAGGATTGTGCATTGGTGCAGACATGCGTGGAGGTGATGTACAACATCGTGCAGGGGATTGAATACACGGCGATCATCTATGCGATGATTGGATATGAGTGGAAAGCGGCAAAGTTCTTCTATTTCCTCTTCTTCATAGTTTCAAGCTTCAACTACTTCACATTGTTTGGCATGATGCTGGTGTCACTGACTCCCTCTTCCATGCTCGCAAACATACTGATATCCTTTGTACTCCCTCTTTGGAACCTGTTTGCTGGGTTCCTCGTCGTCAGACCGGTAAGCAAAAGCAAAATTAAGCAACGCATTTTGGCGTTATTCGTTGGTTGGGTCAAGACTGATGATTGTTTGGTTGTTGCAGTTGATACCCATCTGGTGGAGGTGGTACTACTGGGCCAACCCTGTGTCATGGACCATCTACGGCGTGGTGGCGTCGCAGTTTGGCGACAACAAGAGTCCTCTCAAGGTCCCCGGCGGGAGCGACACGTTTGTGAAGCAGTTCTTGGAGGACAACCTGGGCATCAAGCACGATTTCCTTGGGTATGTGGTGCTGGCGCACTTTGCGTTCATCATCGCCTTCTTCTTTGTGTTTGGCTACTCCATCAAGGTGTTGAACTTCCAGAAACGTTAGGCCTTCTTCTTTATTTAATTTATATATAATATAGTGTTTGTGTGTATATGAATGAATGCAATGTAATGTATAGTAGAAAGAGTAGAGTTGACAAGGGAAATTGTTGCATAGATAGGCCAGACCTGGTACGTATAAATTAGAGGAATGAGACGAGAGGTGGTGGTGACATGATGCCTATTTTTTGTTTTGTTTTACCATTGACATTGATATATTAAATACGAAAAGTTCATTTTTGGTGCAATGTAGTGTAGTGTAAGCAGTTTGGTCCTCAATTCTACTACTGCAAGGAGCAGAGCAGACCCTAAACAAAAATGTTAAGATGATTTTGTGATTTGGTCATTGGAACTAGACTAGAGTCTAGAGGTGGATTTATCACTTGCCTCCCCCATGTTATGTTATTCTATCAATATCATGCTGTCGGGCCCGGGTGGAGAATCCAGCAAGTCACCCCGAATAATTGAAGATGAAAGTCCTCTGCCTCAATTTCCATGCTTTCCTCTGTTTCTGTTCTCAAGGCATCTCCAACGCCGACTCTCAAATCTCCCGTATCCGTTCGGACCGTCCTATCCGAACAGCAGAAGCCTCCAACGCGGGCCCGTATCGCTCCGCGGTGTGGTCCGGGCGTACTTTCTCCCTCAAACCGAAGACAAACGTGTGGGGCTTTGCGTGACCACCCCCATGCCCGCTTCTGACCGTTCTGACTCACCAAAACCCCTCCTACCTCCTGCGCGCACTTCCCGCCCATCGCCAGCTGCCCGCATTCATGCCCCTGTAGAGCGCGCCGCTCCATATTGAAGGCGGCTCAGGACGGAGTGATCTCTCACTGCCTCTGCCATTGAAGCGGCACACCGGCCCAGGGCGCCGTCCACTGCACGCCCGGCTGAACACGCCTCCTCGCCGCATTCAAATGCCTCCATTGAATACAAGTGAAAGCTGGGAAACCTACTCCGGCCACACATCCATGCAGGAGCGGGCCATCATTAAACGCAACGTTGGGCAAGCTCCTCCCTCCCGCCCTATATTTAAACGAGGCCAAACGCCGAGCAAGAATCGCACGACTCTGTCGCTTCCCATCTCCTCCTTCCACCATTTTGTCCACCCTTTCGATGGCATCCAACAAGCAGGAAGAGTGGTTCTTGTTAGAATAAATCCAAGGCATACCATTGATTATCCGAGAACCAAGCAATCACACGAGCACGACACCGAGATTTGTTAACGAGGTTCACCGATATGGCTACATCCCCGGGGCTTGACTATGGGCGCTCCTTCCCATGACACCGCTACAATACCGCACCCGGTCGCCCTGGACACTAGCACAAACCACCGACTTCCCCTGCGTTCCGGTGCTATTATGTTGGCATAGGTTATATCGTGTGTCTAGCCCCACTATATATGAGAGGCCTAGGATACAAGTGTCCTACTAGGACACGACTCCATATCCTATCTAAACACAATACAACTACAACTACAACTGTAACCTACCTTGTACACTATATTCGACACAACTCTAATAAACTCCACCTTGGCGAATATACTCCACCACCCTGGATTTGTCCATGCGTCAAACTTCCATGTACATTGGACTTGAGCTTATCCCATGAGAATCGCTGCTACTCCAAAGACTCCATATGACTCCACCTGCAACTTGTAGTCCCTTCTTTTCTTGACCACAGTCAACACTCGAGCAAAATTAAGTTCCTTGTTACTCTAGTTTGTGCTCCCAACTTCCAGAGTATCCGTCCAACGCAATCACACACTGATCACTGACCTGCGTGAAAAATGAACAACTCACGTATTGGGTGTCACACATAAGAGTTACCTGAACTCAACATCGCCGCTCCTATCTTGTTTAACCAGTGTTGTATCCTCTGCTCAAGTTCTTTTCGCCTTACCAAGTCTTGCATCTCTTTTCAACCGGAGTGCTGTCCGAATTTGTTCTTCCTTTTCCCCCTTTTCTGACGGAGATTGTCAACTTCGTTTATCTTCATTGTAGTTTTTTCTTGAAACGGTTTAATCTTTTAAGGTTCTTTGGTTTCACTCGTTTGTCAAAGAAGCAACTTAGTTTTACCTCTTATCTTCCTCTTCCTTTTCCCTCCGGTGCCATCCTAAATCTTGGGACGAGATCCTTTCATAGTGGTGGAGTGTTGTAACACCCCGGATGTAACTTACCATATTTGTACTCCGACTCTTGTCATTTCCGGCTTTAAGTTATGAGATCCGTGGTTGGGTTCTTGTCTTTGTTTTGCATTTTGTTTTTGTCATGCTTTTCATATCATGTCATCATGTGCATCGCATTTGCATACGTGTTCGTCTCATGCATCCGAGCATTTCTCCGTTGTCTGTTTTGCAATACGACACTCCTACTTGCACCCGGTGCCTCCTTTTGTCTCTTTTCGTGAGCGGGTGTTAAACTTTCTCGGAATGGACCGAGATTTGCCAAGCGGCCTTGGTACACCACCGGTAGACCGCCTGTCAAGTGTCGTGCCATTTGGAGTCCGTTTGATACTCCAACGGTTAACTAGAGAACCGTAAAGGCCTCTTGTGTATTGCAGCCCAACACCCCTCCAAAACGGCCCAATAACCATTCCAAACCCCTTCCATGTCCTCCGCCGTAGGATCACGATCGCGTGGTCGAAAACTACACCTCATTTGAACACTCCCACCTTCTTCTATGTATAAATATGTGATCCCCTCTCCAATTTTCGGGTCCAAACCCTAGCCCCGCTCCCCCTCGCCGCCAGACGCGTCCGGACCGCGCCAGACACGTCCGCGCCGCCGCTCCCCTCCACTCACAGGCCGCCACGTGGCGCCCCGGACCTTCCACCGCCGCCGGCCCGCCTGGCCCGAGGCCGGCCCTCCCGCTCCGCCGACCGGGCCGCCGCCTCG